CGGCGTTAATGTCTATTTCACGCACCCATTCCCTGCTACTTTGGACAAGGTCACTTGCCTCAGGCGACGCCACAAGTTTGACACTTCACTTGTCTTTCGGGTATAAGGTCTTATTCGTGTTATGAGCGAATTCTTTTAGAAATCTTACTCAAAGAAAACCGAAATCTCTTTTCAATCTACTATCGGATTGTTTCAAAAATACCTACCTACGTCTGGTGATGCTGAAAAATGTCAGCCTCCGTCATGGAACGGTTGTAGCCAAAGGCTGCTCTCCACGCTATCAGTTCGACACAGGTTCCAATGGCTGCAGCCACACTTCCCCACATACAGGTAGCGTTCACACGGGAGGGATCGACGTCAGAACTAGCAGAGAGGGATATAGACTTTACGAAGCACCAAGAGAAGAAGATGATGAAGAACAAGTTGATGATGATGATGGTGGCAACGACAAATTCAACGACGACAAGCACCAAGAGAGAGAGAAAGAGAGAGTGGTGGTTGATGTTGTTGTTGTTCATGATGATGATGAAGAAGAAGAAGATGATGATGATGGTGGCAACGGTGGTGGTGGTGGTGGTTGTTGTTGTTGTTCATGACGGTGACAACGACGACGATGATGATATAAAACATTTTAGCATGATTATCCCTGAACCTACGCTGCTGAGCATACTGGGAGGGGTGGTCGTCGGTACAGATGCCGCCAGACAGCAGCATAGCTGAGGAGGGTGTCTCGGTTGTCACAGGCCGACGTCCACTGGGATGCACACAGAAGTCGCCCTCGGTCACCCTCAATGGAAGAAACATCTCAATAACTGTTAGATTTAAAACGCGTGAGTAGGTGGTGTATTCTGGCCATATTGTGTTTTACGATCCCTTACTTTCATCCACCGACAGCCCTCCACAATGACGGATGATGCCTATCGTATTTTTATGTATTCAAACATATCCGTTGCATCCGATTGATGCGAAAGGACTTTAGGTATTAGCTGCCGCCACGAGGTACACACTGGCACACACACGCATATGCTGTTGATAATATCTATCCGTATATGTCACTTTAACAGTGTGCACTAAATGGTGAATGTTTATAGAAATAACGGGGCGGAGGGGTAGACTAGTGGTTAAAGCGTTCGCTCGTCACGCCGTAGACCCGGGTTTGATTCCCAATATGGGTACAATGTGTGAAGCCCATTTCTTGTGACCCCGCCGTGATATTGCTGGAATATTGCTAAAAGTGGCGTAAAACTTAACTCACTCACTCACAAAATAACGCGTTCCTGTGGGGATATGTAGACATCGCAGACAAAAGAACATACATAAGGACTCACTGGTCGCCAGCGGCGAACCATATTAAAGTGTCCCTGCTTTGTTTAACTTTAACAGTTGTAGTTGGTAAAAGAAGCAGAATGACCTAAAGGCATAACCAGAATGTTCTATTTCAACTGAGTTATTAGGATGTTTTTCAAGTTATCAAGCCAAAGCTAACTGAGTTAATATAGATATGTCTTCTCATTACTGAATGGCCGTCTAGTGTGTATGTAAACTGCACACAAACAGAAACCGCAAAAGAAACCATACGCACTTTAAGGTTGTAATGGTCCATGGAGGAAGGTGTAGCCTGGCGGTTAAAGCGTTTGCTAGTTCGATTCCAATATTGGTATATGGTGCGAACTCCATTTATTTCACTCACTCACTCTGCTGTTGGTAGGCAGCGAATGTGTGTACAGGGGATTTACAATGATGGAATGGATATATATTAGCGTACTGCCATGTATACCCGCAGACAGCGTTGAGAGTGCAATGTGACTGGACGACTGTCATTTCAGACCATGCTGTGGCACCAGCTCGGTACAATGTATTGACGATACTGGAATCGAGACGTATTGCCCCAAATAGCGGAAGATGTGCAAGGTTTACCTGCACACGGCGTTGAGGGTGTTGTGGATGTCTTGCTGTGTCAGAACACCGTCGAAGGTGACGTAATATCTCAGTAGTCTCATGTGACAGACGTCGTTAATGTGCCACAAGAAGCTGATAAGGTTACATCTACCTGCAGTGATAGGGTCATTGAATATATTGTTAGTTTAAAATGGGTAGATGTCAAGCACAGAGCCTCCTATGTAACTTTATTTGGTTCGATTAAATCTTTTCATACCTTGTGCTCTTGACATCATAATTCCCAAAAGCAGGAGAGCTGCAAACTTCATTCTGTACAGCAGTCCACAAAACACCTGCAAACAACATGACAGCATGATAAAATACCTGAAAACAACATGACAGCCTAACAGAACACCTGCAAGCAACATGAAAAACATAACAAGACACATGCAAATAACACGACATAATTTTAAAAAACTGCAAAAACGATGACAACACATCGAAACACCCGTAAACAAAATGACAACATACCAAGACACCTGTAAACAACATGACAGCATAAGAAACAACCTACAAAACAACACGACAACATAGCAAAATACCCGCAAACACCATGAAACACATAACAAAACACATGCAAATAACACGATATAATTTAAAATACCTGCACACACAACATGACACCACGCCACAAACAACATGACAACAACATAACAAAACACCGGCAAACGACATAACACCAAAGACCCTTGCAAAGCAGCAACCATGACATAACACTGCAGGACACATGCAAACAACATGACAAAATGACAAGACATGGAAATAAATGTGCTTAAACGTAGAAGACAAAAACGGACGACCAATTGGTTTTACCTTAAGTTGGACACAAAGAAAAGCAAAAGTATTGCGTTTCTTGAATAGATTTTGACAAATTAGGCCAGTTGCTGGACGTGTTACATTTTCAGTTACTGACTCGTGGAACTCGAACAGTGGGTGGCTTATTTTTAACATAATTTCATGTTTAAATATAAAAGCTATTACCAACAAAATCCGACACATTCTTATGGAAACATACGCTAAAAGCTCTTATGGGGCAAATAACGCTCATACTGGTTCAACCCTGTACATATAAAACTTTCAATGTTTTGCTGAAGGGCTGTGTATTGCCCCAAATTTCGTATTGCGATATATTGCGATACACTCTTCTGCATTGCGATACGTATTACAATATATAGTGAGATCTGTCCACTTGGTAATATTCTTTTTACCTTCAAATTGAATCACAGTATATGTGAGTAACCATTGTGCATTGTATAGCTTCTTTCAAAGTGAAAAAGAAAATCCAGAACAATCTTCTGTTTATATTTGGAAACAATAATGCTTTTCTGAACGTGTTAAGCAACAAATCGTCATATATACGTAACTTATGGAACTTACTGGACGCATCGTGCAAGGTGGCGACCTGTGACAAATGTTCTTTTTATGCAAATGTTTTCTCATTAAACATCGTGTCCGAGCATAAAGATCGAGGTGACGAAAGCTGAGATGTCACTTGACTTGCATAACATGATCGCACGAAAAGATGGAAATAGTAACTTAGATGTACGTTTGACAACTTTAATGAAAACTGTTGATTGTATTCATTAATTTATTCAATTTTAATGATTTCCTCGAAACGTCCATACTTTGCTCATTGACATTTTTAAGTGGACCCGTTGCCAATCATTTGGAAATACTTCCGCCCAATCCCCACCCACCACCACCCATATTACCTGAATATGCATATATATCATTTTCCTCACCATTACAAGTTAGGGGTATACGGGCGGAAGTCTTATGTGCGGTGTTGAATGGGTTAAAATTGAACAAATAAAACTTTGGCGGTATACCGGTACGTCATAAACGTATCGCGATACGTAATTGTTACAATGTCGTATTCCGGTTTCCTGGTATACCGGTAATACCGTGCAGTCCTATCGTGCTGTAAAAGCTATATCAAAGGGTTTTATGTCCCCGTGGTGTACGTGTCACATGATGTGGTCATATAATGTAATACACATGCACTGTCAGAAGCAAGTCACGAGCACCGTACGTGTCACATGATGTGGTCATATAATGTGATACACATGCACTGTCAGAAGCAAGCCACGAGCACCGTACGTGTCACATGATGTGGTACCAAAATGTGATATACATGCACTGTCAGAAGCAAGCCACCAGCACCACATGTGTCATATGATGTGGTAATATAACGTAATAGACATGCACTGTCAGAGGCAAAGCCACGAGCACCGTACGTGTCACATGATGTAGTAATATAATGTAATACGCATGCACTGTCAGAAGCAAGCCACGAGCACCGTACGTGTTACATGATGTTGTAATGTTCATACGCATGCGTGAGATTGAATGGTCACCAAAAGGAGAGCTTTGACAAATGCTGACTTTTAACCAAGAATCTGACCTGCAGAGACTCAAAGTACATCTATAACGTTAAAGTAAGCGTGAACATTCATTATTAGGAAGATTTGGTCGTAAACGTCCAGCCGAAAAGATAATATGAACTCGGAAAGTCTGGACGTGAGCCTGTCCCAAGCCTTCGTTGACAGCGTAATGGCGGGTGAAAAGATCACTGTGGTTGCGGACATAACGCCGACCCACAGCAGTCTGAAGAGATCACATAGCTACGAGGGAGAATCTGATGAACTATCGAACAAGAAATCCAGGAAGGATGATGATTCAAGAAAACTACATCAAGGTAATCCCCCCTGTGACTTTGATCCCATTACTAAACTGTCGTCTGACCTACACATGTTGTTCGGCCAGCTTTCATCACGTATTGATAAACTCGAAACAAATATGGAACAGAAGATCATTGAACATCTGGGTAAAGTTATTGACCGTAAAATTGAGACAGGTCTTTCTGGAAGTGAAGGAGAGCGTGTGAAGAGATAGACTGTGTTAAGAAAAAGACGTGGACATACTCAAGAAACAGTATAGTGACGCTGTGAAACATCATCGCAAAACAGTCAGTGTCGTGATCTTAACATAGCTATCAAAAATCTCCCAGAGGGACAAAATGAAAATGTGATGTCTAAAGTTAATGGACTGATTAAAGATGGTTTAAAGCTACGTGGTGTGACAGTGTCAGACGCTGTGAGAAAGCAAGCACGTAACCAGGCTCTTTCTGGTGTTGTTATTGCCACATGTAGGTCAGCTGAGGATAAAACTCACATTTTGTCCAACAAGAGAAAACTAAAGGACTCGAGAACATTCTCAGACGTGTACATTTCACCCGACCTCTCCCCAGAACAACGTTTGCATGCTTCAAACATGAGATCAATTGTGAAAGCTATTGGTCACGATAAGCTGATCATGAAAGGGAAAAGCGTGCTCCTCAAGTCACGTGATTCTGACGTTGACGACAGGCGACGCACGGACAACGGTGGACAACGGTACAAGGGTAGCGGTTCTCAACGGGATGCCAACAATAGGCGTGAAGTAGAGGCGAGCTACCGTCCGCCTCGTACTGGATCCTATTCAAGCAAGGCGAATGGTGGACACTATACCAACCACTAGCTTCTATTTGGTCTTTGGAACATCAACGGCTGGAACTCAAACACTTCCTCAAAGAATAGCCAATTCCTACCGCGTGTGTGTTAGATACTGACGTTGACATTATTGGTTTAACAGAAACACACCTCATGAATGACAATGTTATTGCAGTTCCGGGTTATACTTGGTTTGGCCAAAATAGAAAGTTTATACACAAAATGCGAAATGTGGTTCTGGGGGTGTTGGCTTTCTTATTAGATCCTCTCTATTATCATGGTACAGTATTAATGTTCTTGATAACTCTTTTTGAGGGTATTTTATGGCTATCTATGAAACATGTGTTATCTAAAAATGTGTATAATATGTGTGTATGCTATCTGCCACCCGAAAATTCTACCAGAAGCGGAGATGTGCTGCAGTTTTGACACACTTACCCTCAACATATATTCTTACCAAAAGTCAGGTGTAGTCCTGGTATTCGGTGATTTTAACAGCAGATGTGGTGACTTGGAAGATTACGTCATTGGTGTTGATTCATTACCGAGAGAGAGATGTTATTGATTTTAAATCCAATAGGTATGGTGAGTGGATGTGTGATTTTCTCGTCCGGACAAATATGTGTATTCTGAATGGTAGGAATAGCAAAGTGAATGATTTTACTTCAATATCCACAAAGGGATATGCAGTTGTTGACTATTGCCTTGTTGCATATGAGGACTTGCATATGTTCAGTGAGTTCATGGTTGAACGAGCAAGTACAATGGTAGATCGTGCACTTGGTTCTATGGATATCGACCCTCGTACAATTCCTGACGACTCCTTCCTCACCTGGACACTCAGTACCCAGGAGAACGTTCAGCGTCAACACACTGTCTACACTGATGAAACAGATGAGTATATCAAGTTCCTCATGGACAAGGCACCCAATAATCTCGTGCTGGAAGACAATACTGTACATTCGGTACACCTTTTAATTTCTGAACTGGAAGCAGCTGAAAAACCCAAGACAACATAGACTCTACATATGACGGTTTTGTATATTGATAAAGGGAAGAAATGTACGACAAGATCCCTTATAAAAGAATGAAACTGAAACCGGGCGTGTGTAATAAACGGAGGAGACAGAGTAAAGTTTGGTGGTCTGATTCCTTGTCAAAGCAGTGGAACAATCTGTGCACAGCTGAGTCGGCCTATCTACGAGCTGATAATGTCAACAGAAAACGTCTGAAGGATGAATACTCACGAGCTAGAAAACTGTTTGATAGAAATGTACAAAAAGCAAAGAGACAATATCGACAGAAGATACAAACTGACATTGCGGACTCTGTAGATAAAAACCAAAGTTATTTCTGGAAATCAATAGGAAGAATTGGTATTGGATCGGAAAGACACAAAGGAATCCCTATGGAAATAGTACAAGAAAATGGAACTATATCACACAACAAGGAAGATATACTGAACAAATGGAAGTCTGAATTTGCTAATCTACTAAATGTTCATGAAAGCGACCCCTCAGCTGATGTGAATGAACACCATCCTCCGGATGATCGCTCCCATGTTTTTGATCTACCAATTAGCGAAAGTGAAATTATACTTTCAGTTAGATCCATGAAGAATGGTAAAGCAGTGGGTGAGGATGAACTTCCTATAGAAATACTGAAGAATAATAAACTATTGCATTTTCTACATAAGTTCTTAAACATGTGCTATGAACACGGACGAATGCCGGGAATATGGAGTCGGGGAATTATCCAACCTGTCCTGAAGTCAAGCACCAAGGATTTGAGGGACCCCATGTCCTATAGAGGTATCACACTCACCTCTAGCATGTACAAAATATATTGTCATATTCTGAATTGTAGACTGTCTAAGTGGGCTGAAGAAAACAAGTTATTAGTTGAAGAACAGAATGGATTCAGGAAGGAAGAAGTACCTTAGATCACATAACAAGCCTGACTAACATAGTTGAAAACAGGAAGAAGAAAAGTTGAGTACATTCGCTGCTTTCATCGACTTTAAGAAAGCGTACGACTCCATTGATAGACGAATCTTGTGGGACAAACTGAAGGACGTTGGAGTCGGTGGGAAAATGATGAAGTCACTAAGAACCATATACAACGACGTCTACAGCTGTGTTAGAGTTAATGGTTTTAAGACTGATTGGTTCCAAGTCAACAGTGGGGGTGAAACAGGGTTGTCTACTCTCCCCTCTGTTATTCAACTTATTTATCAACGATCTGGCGGTGATTTTGAAGAGTCTGAACATCGGAATTGAGATTGGGGATGAGCTGGTGTGTATGCTGCTGTATGCAGACGATATTGTACTCCTGGCACCGACAGAGTCAGACCTGCAGGACATTCTCATCTTTCTTCACAACTGGTGTGGTAACAACAATATCGACATCAATGGGGATAAATCAAAAGTCATGCATTTCCGCAACCCCTCAGTGCAAAGATCTGTAAAACGTTTTACAGTTGGTAATCTGGAACTAGAAACAACAGAGAGATATACTTACCTAGGGTTACTTCTGGACGAACATCTTGACTTAAGGATTACAGCTAAAGCAGTATCTCAGGCAGCAAGCAGAGCACTGGGGCTGGTGATTGCAAAGTGTAAAGGCATTGGAGGAGTTGACTTCAACGTTTTCACCAAGCTGTATGATAATCTTGTCTTACCAATTATTACATATGGAGCTGCAATATGGGGTCAGAAAGACTATACGTATATCAACGCTATCCAGAACAGAGCAGGTCGGTTCTTCCTGGGAGTTGGGCGGTATACCCCTACTGATGCAGTACTCGGAGAGCTAGGATGGATTCCTGTAGGCATAAACCAGAGTCAAGCGGTGTTGCGACAGTGGTGTAGACTCACGAACATGAAGGATGAGAGACTCAACAAACGTATCTTTCTATGGGATAAAGAAACTGGCATCGTTCCGTTTCAAGAATTGGAATTTTAGAGTCCACAGACTCCTGAGTGAGAACAACTGTGAATCCCTGATATCACTTGGCCAGGTGCAACTATCATCAATAAGAACTTTAACTGAAAACCTCCAACATAAGTACACTACAAACTGGTGCCGGCGAATTGAATCAAATACGGGAAAACTACGCACATACCGCACTTTTAAAACTGCCCATGGAACGGAATCCTATGTATTAACACGACTACCCGGTTATTTTCGCGCGGCTATCGCCAAGTTCCGGTGTGGAGTTGCTCCAATTAGAATAGAAACAGGCCGATACGAAAACCTCCCCCAGACAAACGCCTATGTCCCCTATGCAGTAACCCCTGTATCGAAGACGAGCGTCACGTCCTACTACAGTGCCCTGTATACGACGATCTACGATATGATCTGATACAAGAAGCCAGCTCCTTCTTTACCGACTTCCATCTGTGGCCAGAGAGTGTGAAGTTCACAGCGATTTTAAGTCATAACCATTTAATGGTTAAATGTGCCAAAGCCTGTTTTAATATACTTAAGCGTCGTCGTAATCTTCTATATTCTTAAAACTCCTTTCAGAGTGTATACTTTTTATCGTATAAATTAATTATGTTTTAATTGTGTATGCCTGTTGTACCTTTTAAGTATTCTGTATGTATATATTTTCATATAATATGTTTACGCATTGTTTTAATGGGTTTTTATATATTTCACTTTTATCTTCTTTTTTAAATTTTTTTATGGTATATACTTATGTATGTGTGTGTGTAAACCTTTAGCATATATACAAGTCTCTCGTAACTCTTATAGAGTGGCTCATATATTCCTTATACTGCTATATTTTCCCAATTCTACGTGTACTTTTACTGTATATATGAGGTGAGACTCAAATAAACTATCTGTCTGTCTGTCTGTCTATAACGCAATATACATGCACTGACAGAAGCAAGCCACGAGCACCACACGTGCCACATGATGTGGTAATATAACGTAATATACATGCACTGACAGAAGCAAGCTATGTGGAATGTTACTTCCAGTACCTATGCAAGCAGAAGAACAAACACAAACCAAATACACGACTAATAAAATACCTGCGTATTGAAAGTATCCTGCGGAACGACGTTGCTTCACTGTGACTGTCAATCACCTAATGCAGTAACCTTTAGACTGAATGTAAATTTGTCTCGCGCATATACTTACAAACCTAAGTAGGTTTAGGAAAAGCGTAAATGACAGAAATAGCAGAATGATATAGCAGTGGAGTGGTTCATTCTTGGATGCAGTCACTCTGGAGAGATTTGTTATCATCATCGTGGTAATACTGACTGACTGAGTTTTGGTTTTACGCCGCTTTTAGCAATATTCCAGCAATATCACGGGGACGTCAGAAATGGGCTTCACTCATTGTACCCATGTGGGGATTCGAACCTGGTCTTCGGCGTGACGAGCCAACGCTTTAACCACTAGACTACCACACCGCCCCTCGTGGTAATACATATATACTATATGAAAGTGAGGACACATTTTGAAACTACGATAACTTATACCAATGTCTGTCAATTAACGTAGTGTGAGCGAGTAAGTTGGTTTTACGCCGCTTTTAGCAATATTCCCGCAACATCACGGCAGGGGACACCAGAAATGGGCTTCACACACTGTGCCCAAGTGGGGAATCGAACCCGGGTCTTCAGCATGACGAGCGAACGCTTTAACCACTAGGCTACTCCATCGCCCTCAATTAACGTAAGTTATTTATGTGGCAAGAACATGTACAAAGAAGTAAAGCTCTCAATCACAATGTTGTGACGGTCGTGAAGCACATGGCCTTGACAACACGCCCTGGGTGGTCTGTCAGATTTACCATTGCCAGATTGTGAGCAAACGCATTTGTTTTCTTGGAACCAAAACACTTTATCAAACATATTTTATTTAATCATTAAGACGGTATTGATCCACATTTGCAATTAATTGGACATTGACGTGCCATAGGCATGTTGCAGATGGACACAAAAGTCAGAACAAGAAATACATAACATGGAAGATTGACGCCGCTCTGGACAACAGCCTGTTACGACGTAAATTGTAATAAAAACGCAAATTGTAATACTTGCAGCAAATTGTAATAAACTTGACGTAAATTGTAATAAAACGTAAAATTGTAATAAAATTGACGTAAATTGTAATACGCAAATTGCAATAAAATTGACGTAAATTGTAATAATTTTCGTTGCGGTAAAATGTAATAAATATTTACGTAAATTGTAATAACAGTTTTAATCACTCGTAAATACGCGTGTTACGACGTAAATTGTAGTAAAAAACGTAAATTGTAATACTTGCAGCAAATTGTAATAACCATTGACGTAATTGTAATAAAACGTCAATTGTAATAAAAATTGACGTAAATTGTAATACGCAAATTGTAATAAAATTGACGTAAATTGTAATAATTTTCGTTGCGGTAAAATGAAATAAATATTTACGTAAATTGTAATGACAGTTTCAATCGTTCGTAAATACGCGTGTGTTCGTTTTTCATTGCACTTCAAACATCATATAAGCTTGTGAGGGCGATAACTCAAAGAAAGAAATGATGGATTTTGTTCAAATTTGGTACCAAGGTGTTGTGGCGAGATTCACAGACACCAGTTGAATTTAGTGACCTTGAGATAATTTGCAAGGTCACAGCAAAATATAAAAGATTGTTAGCGCGATAACTCAAGAAAGAATTGATAGATTTTGATCCAATTTTATATCAAGGTGTATTGGCGGGATTCCCCTACACCAGTTGATTGGGGAACTTGTGCTCATTTTGAGTTTACAGCGAAAATTGTATTGTTTTGCACATTTCTAACTTTTAGTGCGAAAACACAAGAAAGAAGTAATATACTCTGCTTAAAAAGTATGTTAGGAAAAATGTGCTGGGAGTATAGTCTAACGCCAGTCGAATTCAGTGATCTTCGGATAATGTTCAAGGTCACAGCGAGTATGCTTGCGATATCCCCAAACTAATGGATGGAATCTGTTCGCTTTTGTATCAAGGCTTCCGATTACAGTTTCGGTAACGTTTAGATAATTTGCAGGGTCATGCAGAAGATTATTGCGATATTCAGATATTGACATGTGGCGGAAGTAATAGCTGTGTTTGTGACAAAGACCTTAATCGATTAATATCGATTCGTTTGTTAAGCAGTCAAAATCAAAGTATTTATGAAACATCAAATCGATCAGATCTTATTATGTAATCATGAATAGATTTTGATAATTTGTGTAGATCATTGCTAGTGAGGGATGTACATCCCCATGAGTACAGTGTTGATACTAAACCCCTTTAAATAGAAATATGATTTTGTCTCTATTCCGTGTATTTATTGCATGTGAAGAAATAATGCACAGCATTTTTCGACTGGATGACCACATGAGCACGAGGGGCTGTCGATGATGTGTCTATCAAACCAAACAGCATTCAAATCACTACAACGGAGCCGGAGACGAGAATGGATAATTTGGCATCTTCTTGGTCCATAGTTTAGGTCAAAGATAATAGTTTTGTTATTTGGTCTTAATATCGAGTTTTGAATCGTGATAAAGTATCAATATTTTGAATTTCAGAACTGTATCAGGTAGAAATGATCTGGCATATGTCATCGTTCTACATTTAACTGATCGCACTGATAAATTAGTTTTCTACTGAAGTGTATTGATTTTGTTTTGTTAGGATTGAATGAAACCTTCCATTCTTTGGCCCAATTTGAAATTCTTAATAAGTCATTATTTAAACAGTCTGCAGCAATGTCAGGATCATCAATTATAACATATAGAGACGTGTCGTCTCTGCAAAAAGTCTAATATTACTAGCAATATCATCTACAATATCATTAATATATATTATGAACATTAGGGGTCCTAAGACTGATCCTTGAGGGACGCCTGCTAATTATTATTATTATTATTAGGATATTTATATAGCGCACATATCCACGCAACTAGTGCATGCTCAAGGCGCTGGTAATTTTCCCCCTCGATCATTGGGTGTCAATCTCAACGGCACATCGTATTATCAATCTCAACTCCTCCCTGGGGAGTATACAACTCTTGCTGCCACTAGGCGCACCGAGTTATTGTGGCTTTCTTATCCTAACGAGGTACCCATTCACAGCTGGGTGGACTGGGACACATAGTCACAGTACTTTGTCCAAGTTCACTGCACGTTGCTGTACCCGCAACTAGGTGTTTGCACGTATTCATGTGGCCACCATCTGGTCATATACCAACGGATTCGTGGGTTCTTTTAAGTGCACAGGGTTGTGTACTGTACACTAGGGATTGTGACATCATTGAAAGAGTCTGCACACAAAGAAGTTGAAACCAAGGTTTCTACACCCATGGACATGTTATCCCGGCATCTCGAAGCTCGCTGGATCACTAGCCTCGCGCCTTAGCCAGCTCGCCCACCGCGCCCCTCATACTGGTCAAGGATTTCATGTGTGTCCATTAATTACAACTCGCTGGGTTCTACCATTCAAATAACCTTCAAACCACTTTAGTAGGTTACCTTGAATTCCATAGGATTTCAATTTATGCAGGATTCCTTTTGCCAAACTTTATCAAACGCTCTGCTAACATCGCAAAATACCGCTCTTACTTCTTTTCCATCGTCTAGTGCTTTAGCATTGAATCATATAGATAGGTTAGCTGATTAGTTGTCGAGTCGCCGGGAGTAAAACCAGATTGAGATTTGACAGAAGGCTATGATCTCTCAGAACATTATATACGTATCTAAAGATACACTTTCCAAATACTTTAGCACTACAACTTGTTAATGCTACCGCTCTATAATAAGAACAATCGTATATATTACCTGTTTTATGGATAGGGATTACGTACGCTTCTGTCAGAAGGTGGGGAACTTAAACAGTTCTAATGACAAATGAAACAATTTAGTTAGGATCGGGGCTGAGTGGGTTGGCACTCGTTTTAATACTTTGTTTCCGATTTTATCAGGGCCTGTTGCTTTAGTAGTAGTCTACAGATAGCAATATATTCTTAACTCCCCAATCTCCAATATTATATCAGTCAAAGTACTATCACAACGCTCATCAGGAGGAGGGTCGTCATCGAGGTCTATAACTTCAGATTAATTGGTGAAATAGATATTCATAATTTCTGTAATATCGTTTAAATCATCGTAGAAAACATCATCATCAATTATTGCATGACAAGTAATTCTTGCCGATGTATTTTGCCAATAATTCTTAACTAGTTTCCACCAACTTTTTGTTCCAGTTGATTCACCTATTGCGATATCAATTTTGCTTATGTGCTGCTTGTTAGCTTTACGTACAGACGATATTACCTTATTTCTAACAGGTCTGAATTTTTGCCATTCTAGTGGACGGTTAGTTCTCCTAGCGATTTTGTGTTGCCTATTACGTTTTCTAATAAGTGAGCATATTTCATTATTCATCCATAACGGGTCTCTTGGCCTAATCGGCACGGTTTTGTTTGGTATGTTCGCGTCGCAAACGTTGAGTAAATCGTCGGTTAGTTGGGATGCTATCAGATCGATTTTTTCAGTTTCCGTTAGCTTATTACCAGTAGCAGTTATGTCTTGTTTCGTGCGTTCCATATTCGCTGGAGAGTAATCATAGGTTTTCCGCTTGTAGCATACTTCATTCTGTATATCTGATTCGATGTTAACATACACCGGACAATGGTCACTACATATCGGATCTAGCACTCCCGAATTCCGTACTTTATCCAAACATGTGACAAATATCAAATCAACCAATGTACGAGAATGAGAAGTGATGCGCGTGGGTTCAGATATTAGTTGCTTGAGTCAATATGCAGCTTTTAAGTAATAAGTTTTTTGCTTATTTCTCTCTCAATAGATCTAACTTAAAATCTCCTACAATGATAGTATACATATTTAAATCCACGGCATTTGCAATGATGTTGTCAATAAGATCCCAGTATACTTCACTTCTGTCTGCTCTATAGAATGTACCTATTAGATATGTTTGTTTCTTACATTTAAGTTTTATCCATATTGCCTCGAGCCCAGTTATATCCAATTCATCTATTTGCATTGCACACATATTATCTTTAACGTACACCGCAACCCCGCCGCCTCGGCTTTCTCCGTCTTTACGAAATGGCGCATGAAACCCGGAATATTAATTTCTTTGCTATCTATCGCCGAATATAACCATGTTTCGGTCAGACATATTACATCATAGGTGCCCAACTCAATTTCTAATATATCTACTTTTTTCTCTCAAACTTCTAACATTCAGATGAATTATTTTCAGGTCAGTATGAATAAGAGGTCCCGGGTGGGGATGTACATCGAAAATTTGGGTAATGTTTGTGTCGCTCTTCTTGATGCACATGAGGCTGAACCGTAATGGATCGCCACAATAGTTCCGGTTAGAAATGCAGTCTATTTTACCTCGTCATTTATGAGGGCTAAGGTTAACACGGCTAGGTTAACATGACACGTATCGAAAACATCAGACATACAATTTGTGCAATGTTTGTGTCGCTTTCTTGAGGCTCATGAGGCGGAACTGTAATGGATCGCCACAATAGTTCTGCTTAGAAATGCAGTCTATTTATCTCTAATGTTCAGCAATTAACGAAGTTGAGGTCACCACGCCTCACCAGTGGGACACACAACAAACTTCGTCCTTGGCCCAAAGTAATAACAGGGCCTATCGTGTAGAATCTCTCAGCAGCAGTAAAGTGTTAGCCACAAAATCAGTATGACACCTTCCACCCTCCAGAAAATCTTGTCTCATTGGAACTAGCCACAGAATGTCGAGGTTACTGACAACATACAAGGTGAGTGAGTGTGAGTGAGTTTAGTTTTACGCCGCACTCAGCAATATTCCAGCTATATGGCGGCGGTTTGTAAATAATCGAGTCTGGACCAGACAATCCAGTAATCAACAGCATGAGCATCGATCTGCGCAATTGGGAACCGATGACATGTGTCAACCAAGTCAGCGAGCCTGATCACCCAATCCCTTTAGTCGCATCTTAGTACAAGCATAGTCGCCTTTTGCGGCAAGCATGGGTTGCTGAAGACATATTCTACCCCGGTATGAGGACGTGGGTGACAAGTATCCAGATTGAGATTAACCGTATAAAGTGCATGAGAATGGTGCAAACTGTAAATTTACTGTACATAAACAAACAAAGGGGCAGGGTTCAAAGCGCGAGCTTGAACATGAACCATGGAAAGTTATACATTTTTTATATACATAGTGTAACTGAAATATTACTATATTACGGTCAAAGAGAGCAGATATGTATTTCATTTTGATGAACAGTTTTTAATTATGTAGCTGATATAACGATAAGTGTGGTTAAGTCTTTAGAGGAAACAGCAAAGTGCGACAATGGCGAGTGACTTCGTACAACAACCATTCTCTCTCAACTCTGATCGATATTGTCCTCCGAAGACTGACTGACTGAGTTTAGTTTTACACCGCTTTTAGCAATATTCCAGTAATATCACGGCGGGGGACACCAGAAATGGGCTTAACACATTGTGTCCATGTGGGGAATCGAACCCGGGTCTTAGGCGTGACGAGCCAACGCTTTAACCACTAGGCTACCTTAACCGCCCTGTCCTCCGATGAGGGGTACTTAAGAACACATCGTTCAATGTTTGTTGATCATTGCCAGAATGTTAATCGTAGAATGCGGTAGTTTTAATTTATGGCTAAAATTGCTCAAAATTCTAAATCACCAAGAGCTGAGGACATGATATAAATCCAGCTAGGGACCATGCACGTAGCAAAGTAACGTAAGCCCCCATGGTCCCTAGGATGGTGATCTACCTTCAGTTGGTGGCGATCTATAGCCAATTTTAGATTGTTATTTTGAAACGATTTAGCATTTCACACTGAACTCAAAGCAGTTTTTATTAATGCGGATAATCTAGTCGTTATACTGTCGTTTGCTTTAATAGTGTTATTAAAAAATATATAATAGTCTATATACTTCTACTTAGTATATATATACCATTTTTGTCGTCACGATATGGCTGAAATATTGCCGATGTGACTTAAAATTCTAACTCACTCGCTCACTTTACACATTTTGTTTCCTGAAGTTTGTGATGTATGTATTGCAGATTTTGCGTTTTTTGGGAGTACCAAGATAAAAAGTCAACCAAATAGGGATCGTGAGGCTGGAACATAGCAAAACAAATATGCTTGAGGTTGACAGATAATATGTAGAAAAATAAAACATAACAACAGCTGCATTTGTATCATATTCTAGGTGAGGCTGACTACATTTTGAACGCCCCTCGTAGATATACCCGTCAGAACACACACCAACTCCACATGCATTCGAGTGTGTTAGATATACCCGTTAGAATGCCCCCTCTCTATATGTTTACATATCAAAACCTCAACAGATATTTGCCCCAAAAACATGATCGAGACGACAGTTGGAGATTTTATATCGATTCTATATAAGGACGAATATTATTATTATATTTTCCATAAGTATATTTATCAATCTGAAGGTGGCCCAATTCAATTGGTGTCCGCACATCCTCCCAACGCACCTGGGTACTACTTTTAAGCAAAATTTGTCGATTCTTTCTTGAGCTATCGTCTTAACAAGCTTATATGATGTATGAAATGCAACGAAAACGAACACACGCGTTGTTACGACGTAAACTGTAATAAAACGTAATTTGTAATACTTGCAGCAAATTGTAATAACCCTTAGCGTAAATTGTAATAAAACGTAAATTGTAATAAAATTGGCGTAAATTGTAATAATTTTTGTTGCGGTAAAATGTAATAAATAAATGTTTCTAACTGGTATATCAAATCAAATCAAATCAAATTAGACATTTGTATGGCGCTACATATCCAGAGTCCTGCTCATGTGCGCTTAGTCGAATGCTCGATTGAAGAGGTTGGTTTTGAGACAAGATCGGAAACTGTTGATATTTTCCGACTGACATTTTTAGACAATTTCAGGTAATCCATTCCAGAGTACAGCACCCGCTCTGCTAAATGATCTGTCCCCGTATGTTGTGGTTCGGACAAATGGAATATCTAAGCTTTGCTGACTAGTTGATCTGAGTGACCTTCCAGGCTTGTGGAGGTTGACTAGTTCCTGGAGATAGAATGGAGCAAGCCCTTTAATCGACTTTGAAGTTTGAATACAACTCTGTCTTTTACAGGGAGCCAGTGTAAGTCCTTCAGGACTGGTGTTATGTGCACATACATATGTGTGCGTGTTATGAGCCTGGCACCTGTGTTTTGAACACGCTGCAACTTGTCCATGTACTGCTGCTGTATTCCATAGAGTAGAGCTGTTTGCAGTAGTCCAGACGTGATGTCACAAATGCATTTTACTGATGGTGTGTCCATGTACCTGCTAATCTGTCTGATGTTCCTTAGGTAATAATATGCAGATTTCCAGATGTTACTGACGTGATTTTCCATGCTTAATGTTTTGAGTCAAAGATGACACCTAGATTTCGAGCATGGCTTTTTGGTTGAACAAACGTGTCTCCAATTTGAACTCCAGGGACCTTGAACTTTGATTTTGTTTATTTGGAGCTGGTGATGAGAATCTCAGTTTTGTCATCGTTCAGTTTCAGAAAATTACTGTTCATCCAACATTTGATCTCAGCTATGCAATTTGTTATTGTCTGCAGGGCATTCTGTACAGAAGATGCAGTTTGTGGCTTGAACCCAAGATATAGCTGAGTGTCATCAGCATGGAGATAATAACTAAAATTGTGGGCTCGGGCTATATCACCAACGGGTATGGTATATACAGTGAACAGGATTGGGCCCCAGGACTGAGCCTTGTGGCACTCCAAAGCTTAATTCTCTGCTCTCAGACCTTACCCCATCGATGATAACTGATTACTTGTGTCCTGTGAGATACGACTGAAACCGTGATAACGCATCGCCAGTAACTCCAAGACGTAACTGTAGAGTTTCAAAGTGAGTGGAATGGGCATATCTAACACATTTACTTGCATGTAGAGTCGGAGGGTGGGTGGGTGTTCTAACGGGTATATCTACGAGGGACGTTCAAAAGTAGTCAGCCTCACCTAGAATATGATTCAAATGCAGCTGTTGTTATGTTTTAGTTTTCTTCATATTGTCTGTCAGCCTCAAGCAAATTGTTTTTGCTATGTTGCAGCCTCACGATCCCCAATCTGTGTGACTTTCTATCATGGCTCAGTACTCAAAAACCCCGTAAAATCTGCAATAAAATGCATCACAAACTTCAGGAAACAAAATATGCACAGAAACATTTTTGTATGTTTGAGAATGGTAGAAGTCGTCTAGAATCAAACTTAGATATTAAACTGCACAAAAGCAGTTTGAAACTACAATCACAGCTTGTTCAAATGACTCCCCCTTCTGTTTACTGAAAAGAACTCGAGAAAGAAATGCTGGATTTGTTCAAATTTGGTACCAAGGTTTATTGACGAGATTTACCGACACCACTTGAATTTAGTGACCTTGAGGCCATTGTAAATATTGTCAACCTTCAGTTTTACAGATTTGGATAAAGCTCAAACATTAAATGAATATTTAGTATCTATTTCAAATGTTAATGATGGCATGCAAGACTTTGCCACCTGTTAGCCATCGCTGTGTTAACAGTATAACAAATATCATTGTAACCGAAAAGGAGGTATCTGATAAGACCTTACCAGCAAACAAATCTAGTGGACCTGATGGCATTGACATGAGAGTGTTAAAACGGTTTTGTACATCTATAGCTGAACCTCTTTGTTTGTTGCATAATATATCACTGAGTGACTGACTGTATTTCCTACAATGTGAAAAACAGGTAATAAGAGTAATAATAACGGGTAAGCGGATGCATCCCTCCCAACTAATTACAGACCTATTAGTTTATTACCTATCCTTTGGAAAATCCTTGAAAGAATAATGGTAAAGCATTTGCACGACCATTTCTATGAACATAACAATTTAAGTAAATTCCAGTCAGGTGTTACTGCTAGTCATTCTACAACATCTCAACATAGAAATTTATCATAATATATGCTCAGTCCTAGATAATCACCACCTTTAATGTATGCTATTTTGTGATATTTCAAAAGGTTTTTACAGGGCATGGCATAAAGGTTTATTGCACAAATTAGAAAATGATGGTGTTTGTGGAAACGTACTTAGTGGGTTAACTAACTATCTATCTGATAGACGACATTGTGTCTCTGTTAATTGAAAGGGGTTGTGTGTTCTAACAGTTATATCTAGCATACTTTAAGACATAGAGGGGGTGGTGGTGGTTCTAACAGTTATATCTAGCATACTTTAAGACAAAGAGGGTGGGGTGGGGGTGTGATCAAACAGTTATATCTAGCATACTTTAAGACATAGAGGGGGTGGTGTGTTCTAATGGTTATATCTAGCATACTTTAAGACATAGAGGGGTGGTGGTGGTTCTAACAGTTATATCTAGCATACTTTAAAGACATAGAGGGGTGGGTGGTGGTTCTAACAGTTATATCTAGCATACTTTAAGACATAGAGGGGTGGTGTGTTCTAACAGTTATATCTAGCATACTTTAAGACATAGAGGGGGTGGTGTGTTCTAACAGTTATATCTAGCATACTTTAAGACATAGAGGGGGTGGTGTGTTCTAACAGTTATATCTAGCATACTTTAAGACATAGAGAGGGTGGTGTGTTCTAACAGTTATATCTAGCATACTTTAAGACATAGAGGGTGGTGTGTTCTAACGGTTATATCTAGCATACTTTAAGACATAGAGGGGTGGTGTGTTCTAACAGTTATATCTAGCATACTTTAAGACA